TCTGTCTATCTATCTATCTATCTATCTATCTATCTATCTATCTATCTATCTATCTATCTATCTATCTATCTATCTATCTATCTATCTATCTATCTATCTATCTATCTATCTATCTATCTATCTATCTATCTATCTATCTATCTATCTATCTATCTATCTATCATGTGTTGGACAAATGGGCCTTACAAGGCAACAACCCCCCCACACACACACACACACACACACACACAATATTTTGGCATCAAGTCACAATAAAAATGTCAGTGCTTACTCGTGTTGTTATTTTTTCTGTTGTGATATCTTAAAACAGCTGTTATAAGGCATAGATGAAGAACTTGTTTTGTTTCCACACTTCAAAATGTGCAGCTTCGCTGCATTAGTTCCTTGGTGGTTTCTGTGTCTACAACTGGGGATTACTTTTGAATTTAGGTCATTTTCTGAGCGCCAGAGCAGGGCTATGTGAGATTTTACATCAACTTTAATGTTGTAGTTAAAAGATTTTTGATTCATGTCCCATAAGACTTTTAGCACTTTTTTTTTTTTTTGCAATGTTACGTTCAATCTCTTCATCTTGCACTTGTGAATATGAACGGTTTCTTTAATTTTTTTATCATTTTAAATGACTTCTGATCTTGCCATGCATGGGAAGAGCTCCACTCTAAAGTCATATTTAAACAGAACACTAGGTATAATTGCACTGTTTATTTAATCCTTTTAACCTTCTTTAGTTATCTAAATTATAATCTCTGCTTTCAGCATTTTCCATAAAGCACGTTCTTAGAAGTATTCATCATTCACAGTTTTTTCTTCAGATAAATTACTGGGCTAAATGGAGCTATGATTTTCTTTCTATATGCCAGCTGTGGTGCGAATGGTTTTCATTCTGCCAGAAAATCCACTTCATTTAGTGGAGATGAGGTTAAAGATATAATAAGTGAACTGAGGCCTTTTTAACTTGGAGTATTCTGACAATGTTGCATCAAACTGTTCTTTGTGTTTGTTTTAAAGTAATGAATTTATGAAGATTTTATTTCTTTGATCCTCTGTGGAGAAAACATTGAGCGTCTGGAAAAGACTGAACTATTCTGAGCACAGACCTGCCCTGCATAATAAGGTAGAAACTTAAAACGACAGTTCAGACACTCTGAAGAGGAGTTCTGCAGATTAAGGTAATACATAATTAATATAATACCACATTGACAGGCTAACAGCTAATCTGAATGAGGCCAAGACTTCAGTGGATTGCCTCCATTTTAAAACAACTTTAGTATGAAAAAAAAAAAATCAGAGCAAACAATTTGCAAACAAATTATGATAAACCTGAACACTTGCAGAAGTTTTGCATCACATGATCATGTTTAAAGATTTCTGTGATTATTTGCAAAGGAAACAGCAGCAGCAGCTGGTTGTAGCACAGACTGGGACACATTTAGGGTGAAATATAATATTTCCACCTGTAAACATTTATAAAACCTCTGTTTATATCACTTTCTGTGAAACATTTAATATTCCGTTGTTTTACACAGCAGCATGTTATTTTGTGAACGTGGTCAAAATTAAACAGTTTTAAGCTGTCCTTTTTACCGAAGTAGTTGAAATCTATGACAAACAGTAGTTGTTCGTACTCTGATCGCAAAACTCTATTTTAAATTGTGAACTTTCCATTTAAAATGAAATTTAAAGAAAACAACTTATTTTTGATATTGCTGACAAATCATATGCAACATTTCTCCTGTCCCTTCCAGGTGAACGGGAAGGAATTGTCCAAGTCCAGCCATGAGGAGACTGTGGAGGCGTTTCGAGCTGCCAAAGACCCCGTCGTGGTGCAGGTCATCAGACGTACTCCCAGCGGTCGCCCTCACGGTCTCCCTCAGGAAATCCATGTGGTGGATGTATGCACTCAGACCGACATCACCTTTGAACACATTATGGCGCTGGCTAAGCTCCGGCCATCAACCCCTCCTGTGCCTGACGTCTGTCCCTTTCTACTCTCTGATAGGTATGTAGCTATAAACGGTATGTTTATTTAATACGTCTGTATAACATCAATTTTTATTTTTTTTATTTTTTTGGGGGGGGGGGGGGGGGTTACTATATTTTTTGTCATCAAAATTCATGCTTAATAATCCAGGTTAAAAAAATCCAACAAAGTTAAGTCAGGTCCTCCGGATGGTTTCTTTCTGTTGAAACGTTTCATCCTTCATCCAAAGGACTTCATCAGTCCAAGGAGCCACAACAAATTCAGTGCTTTAATGGATTATTGAGCATGAACTTTGATGTTTTGAACCACTTTGGCCATGGCGTCCTCCGAGGAGTCGACAGGGGAGAGGGCAGACTTATCTTCATCAAACTGGTTGGCCCACTATAGGAGTGTGCTGCTTGTGGGACTGAGTTTGCTGTGGCTCCTTGGACTTATGAAGTCCTTTGGATGAAGGATAAAATGTTTTTTTTAAAAACGTCCAGAGGAACTGACTTAACTTTGTTGGGTCTATTTTTTGTCTTTTCACACCAAAGCTCAAAAAGATCCTGATTCTTCTTAGAATAATTAGTTGTGAGCAGTGACACATAATAATAATAATTTTAAAAAAACACTTCAGTGATTTCATATTGTTTCTTTGGCTTACTTTTAGTATAATTTAATTAAACATCTTTTCCAAGATTTGGTTTCACTGTTTCAGGGAGCGAAACAATTTGCTGTTGTGTCCTTGTGACTTTGTCAAAAACTGATGATAATTAAAAAGGAAAAAAGTGAAAGATGTTGGTGAGCTATGGAGCAGAAATATTTGTGTTTGCATGATTTGCATTACAAGTTTGTGGGACACTGACAAATGAACTGACTAATGAGCTACACACTGCAGTCTGACAAATATAGATTAGATTGATAAATGGATCTCTTAATGTCCTTCACATTTTCCTTCACCAACAGGACACAAAACAGGACAAAAAGAAAATGTCGAGTGAATGTTGAACATCTTTGCCAAGCAGAGGCAGAGGCGTGCACGAGTTCATGCCAAGTTCATGTGTGCTTCACTGCTCTAGCTCAAAATACGCCGTAAAGGAAATTCTTCTTCTTTGGTTTTTAACGGCAGATTGCATCCACTCTGTTGAATCACCGCCACCTTGAGACTGAACCCCACGCCTACATTTCCATAAAGGACGTTTCACTGACATGAAACGTAAATCTTCCAATCTGCCTCGGATTACTCCGTGACTTTCTGATGTGTTACACAAAAATCTGCATTTTGGAATTGAAATTAAATCATAGAACAGGCAATGAAAGTCGTCAAAATTAAGTGAAGTTTCAAAGCAAATGAATTCAGTTTCAAACCATTAAATTGCATTAAATCATTATGCAGCATGATGGCTTAGTGGTTAGCACTCTTGCCTCACTGCATGAAGGTCCTGGATTCAATCCCCAGTTGGACCTGGGGTCTTTTTGTGTAGAGTTTGCATGTTCTTCTTGTGCTTGAGTGGATTTTCTCAGTGTACTCCAATTTCCTCCCACATATCAAAAACATGCATGTTAGTCTGCCTTCAGGTCCAGGCCTCCCTTGCAAAAAAGATCTGTGATCTCAATGGGATTTGTCTGATTAAACAAAGGTTAATAAATAAAATAATAAATTTGTTTTCAAACCAATGGATTTAATTTCAAATTACATAAACACAGATTCAGTCTGAGTAACTCACATTCAGATTCTGATGGCACAAGTTTCTGCTCATACATCTGAGACTGGCTGGTGACTCAAAATTGGAAAGTCATCAGAAAATGGGCAAATTTTCAGTTTTAGTCTCATTGAATTCTGAGGCCAAGTGACCAGAAAGCTAAGTGGACATGTTTTGAGAGGCCAATTTAGGAAAATCACAAATTATTTTGAAAAGCAAGATTTGCAAAATGTATTCGGTTGTTCACATTATTTCATTGTCCATCTTCACATGCTGGTGAAGATTCTCAGTCATCCAGGACATGATAAATTCAAAAAATGTTCAAATCAAAAACAATTGGACTTTATTCTGTTACAAATAAAGTCCAGTTGTTTTGGAGTGAACGTTTTTTGAGTCCATTTTCACACTTCTTGTACTCTGCTCAGGTCTCTTTGAACCCACCTTAGCATCCTTCCTCATATTTAGGATTTAATCTAAGAAATACATTTTACAAATTATTGTGTACAAATGTTTACACAGCAAATGCATGTATGATCCAGTTTGCTGCTAATATTACTTCTTGTTAATAGATGGCATTACTGGGACAGCACAGGGCCAAAGACACTGTTGGCTGAGAAATCCAGGAGAAGAATGAAGTTTAACAGTGTTCTGTCATGGCATCTGGTGTAATTGTTGTTACTGTAAAAAGTTTGTGAGTTGAACCGTATCTCCTTTATATGGTGGCCCTTAGGTGTAAATGAACAACATTTGAAAAAACAGAATTACATTTGAAAAAAACACAACAAAACCAACAAGAACAACAACGTTTGAAAAAACAGAATAAAATTAAGCCAAAGTGGAAGTTGCCAGAATCACATTTGAAAAAAAGGTTATTAAATTTGAAAAAAACTGAATTACATTAAGCCAAAGAGGAAGTGGCCAAAGTGGAAGTTGCTTGAATCACAATTGAAAAATTGGAATTAAATTTAAAAAAATGGAATCACATTAGCAAAAACGGAATTATGTGTGAAGAAATGGAAATCATATAATTTTTGAATGATTCAGTTTTTCAAATGTAATTCCGTTTTTTCTAATGTGATTCCATTTTTTTTAATGTAATGCTGATTTTTCAAATGTATTTCTGTTTTTCCTAAAGTATTTGTTTTTTCTAATGTAATTCTACTTTTTCAAATGCAATTCTGTTTTTGTTTTTTGTTTTTTTTTTCAAATGTAATTCTGACCACTTCCACTTTGGCCACTTCTGTTTTGGCCACTTCCGCTTTGGCTACTTCCGCTTTGGCCACTTCTGCTTTGACCACTTCTGCTTTGGCTACTTCTGCTTTGGCTACTTCTGCTTTGGCCACTTCTGCTTTGGCTACTTCTGCTTTGGCTACTTCCGCTTTGGCTTAATGTAATTCATTTTCTCAAATGTAATTCTGGCCACTTCTGCTTTGGCTACTTCTGCTTTGACCACGCAGAGGTTAGAAGATGGGCTTGTGATCGGAAAGTCGCAGGTTCAACTCCCGGTACCGTCAACATCAAAATGTGGGTGGAAAAGGTGAAACACCCACACCTGCCACCACCCTCATTCGCCCCACTCTGGGCCCCTGAGCAAGGCCCTTAACCCCCACCATCTGCTCCCTAAACAGGTCTCTCTTGAAAATGAGTTATCGTGGCTCAATGAGACTACCTGGATAAATAAAGGCTGAATGAACTTCCACTTTGGCTTAATGTAATTCAGTTTTTTCAAACGTTGTTGTGTTTTTGTTGTTTATATTGTGTTTTTTTCAAATGTAATTTTGGTTTTTCAAATGTTCATTTACACTTCAGGGCCACCGTACCTTTATAATTGCAACCACCACAGCAAACATGAAATCACTATTGAACCAGTTATTTTTATTTTAAAAGGCACCATATCCAATAACCGGAAGTGAGAGAGAAACAATGTTTTAATACTAATGAAAACGCTTTAAACTGCACAGCAAAATTTGTTTTTCTTGCAACACTAAAAAAGTTGAACCTGCCACAGTCCTTGATGATTCAGTACAGCAATCTGCACGTCAATACCCACCTCGTGTATAACAACCTGCTTTACAGTAAGTACTCCACCCCAAAGGAAAGTTTCAAACTGCTGCAGATAGTGAAGACAGCAAATCAGATTATTGCTTGTGCCCTTTATCACTTCAGGACATTTACAGTAGCAGAGTTATTGGGCATGCTGAGAAGAGCAAAGCTATGTAGCAAAAGATGCGTCTATCAAGGCCTGCGCAATATTGAATGCCAGCAGCCTTTTCTCAGGAGCTGTGGCACTAATCAGCAACAGTAGACACTAAGGACCTTAATTAACAAGAAGAATTGCTTATCATTGACTCAACTGTCAGATCAGATTTATGTGACTCAAATGTTAAAAATAAATGAAGAAAAAGTGTATAATGCAAAAGATATTTTGATATCAACAAGCGGCTTCTATAAAAAAAACAAAAGGAACTGGTTCATTATTTTCAGTTCATCTCCAAGGAGGAGTAAAACATGAGCATGAGACATTAAGCATAAAGCAAAATCTGGGTTTCACCTCCAGGGAATACAACAATAGCAGAGCCAAAGATATATTGCACAGAAGTGGGAAATCACAACTTACTTGTTGTTAGGCCTCATAGATGATTAATTCCAAGCATAATAAACATTTTAAAACATGCATGGGTTGTCATCTGTCATTTTGTCATTATTACAAAAATCATCAGAAATAAACCACCTAATCGGCATCGCATGTTAGATTCAAAGTACAACACATAACCTGATCAAGATGGAGACACATTTACAAACACACTGTAACCACAGAAATCCTCACAGGGACTTCTTGTCATGATTGGAGATGCTTAGAGTTTCAATTTTGACTTTCAGGTAAGGTTTACAGGGTGATTAAAGTAAATGGCCAATTAAAAAAAACATAGGCAACACAAAGCACGTTCACAGCCCCAGGCTTGAGTCCAAATGTAATCAATATGTCCCATAAAACTCCCATTTCTTCTCGTCATCTGAGATCAGGCGCACGCTCCAATATACTGTTGTCTTCATAGATTTTTATATATAGATATTAATGGCTGGCAGCTCATATTTGAGGATAGATTGTAAAATTGTAATCGTATTCTTTGTGCCTACTCCCACTGCTACGCGTTTTTATAGGAATAATATTGAAGCATCAAGCATTCTGACATTTACTAGCCAGTTTTAATCAGAGTGTTTTTTCCCCCAGACAGTTTCACTGTGCTGGTTTATCTGATAGTCAGACAGTCTGTGAACGCATCACTCAACATGTTCAACAAGATGTCTTTTTGAAGTTTTTTTTTTTTGTCCACAACAATTATCTTGTGTGGCACTGAAGCTGCCACACATCTTGTTAGACCCTCATAATAAGGTTTTGTTTGACAACTGAAGGAGACACAATAGAATCACACTGTACAGGGTGGTGGTTGTGATGGGGGGTGCTGGGGGGGAGGGGGCATGTCTGTCAAGAGCATGAATCAAATTGCAGAGTGTGGATGTGCTGTTATTAACCAGGGGCTGTACTTTTATACTATTATCACACACTCAGAGTCTGTAAAAGCTCTTCCACATATCATTTGTTCTTTCTTTTCCCAAAGAAGACAAAAGCAACCAAATCTTGTCACTTTGAGTTTAAGAAATGTGGAAGAAAATAATAATAATAATAATAATAATAATAATTGTCCTGCTAATGTTCCAATCTGAACGTTTCTCCCTGTCTTTCCATTTCTCTGAGTGTGTGTGTTCTTCGTTTAATTTTCTCTACATGTTTTTGTCTCCTGACAGCTGTCACTCTCTTCACACGATGGAGCAGGATTACTATGATGGAACCGATTACCTCTCCCCTGTTCCTGCTGATGGAGAGAGGATGGAAGAGTTCGAGTATGAGGTAGGAGATAGACTTGATCTGACTGATGAGCTGGGACTTTATGCTTAAAAAAGACTTCAAATCAATTTTAATAAAGAAAACAAAACAAAGAAGAAGCTGCTTTACAACTTTACACTGTTCAGAGAAAGATAACATATTCTTAAATTGAAAAAATAAACAAACAAATAAATAAGTAAATAAAAAAATAGCAAAATAATATCCTTGTGGATTTCAAGAGGATAATCCAGTGCACACCAAACAATTTTCCTTCTGTACAAATTAGTATTGTGATGAAAATATTGTTTTCCATAATTCTCTATTTTAATATGTTGTAATAAACTAAAATTGTGAGTTACTGTTTTCAATACAAGTTTCAGACCTAATGAAACAAGCAGATTATTAAATTGGCAAGAAAAAAGATTTTATGTACATGTACAGTGATTATACATCATGGGCTGCCGCTTCTCAGCAAACAGGTTGATGGTTCAAATCGGTTCAAGCGAGGGGCCTTTCTGTGTGGAGTTTGCATGTTCTCTCCGTGCACATGTGGGTTTTCTCCGGGTACTGTGGTTTCCTCCCACAGACCAAAAACATGCATGGTGGACTGATTGGTAACTCTAAATTGTGTCTAGGTGTGAGTGAGAGAGCGAGTGGTTTTTTGTCTTGCTTGTCTCTATGTGTCCCTGTGATGAACTGGAGACCAGTCCAGGGTGTCCCCCTCCTCTCAGACAGTGACTGCTGGACATGGACACCAGTAACCCCTCTGACCTGTAAAGGAAGAAGTGGGTAAAGATGATGGATGGATGGATGGATGGATGGATGGATGGATGGATGGATGGATGATGGATGGATGGATGGATGGATGGATGGATGGATGTTTGTTTGTAAGACATAAAACAATATAACTTTCTTTTCTCCTAAGAGGGCTGCAGTAGCTTAGTGGACAGCGCCACAATTAGACCTGTCACGATAACACATTTTACTGGGTGATTATTTTTCTCAGAAATTATTGCGATAAACAATAATATTGTTTGAAATTTGACAATAGTTAGTAATTATTGTCAAATTTAAGAAGAAATGTAAGTTGATTTATGTGTAGTACGTTTTTGACCACTGGATGGCAGTATAAGACTGTTTGAACCGAAGGATGGATGGTGAGGGAGCGCAGCGTCTCTTTAAGAGAAATGTGAGGGAGGCCCCTTGACATGACATGGGCTGTCTCTCCTTCTTGTTTTTCACTTTTCAAAATGGAGGATGCTCTGTATGTTTTGAGCTCTTTAGCATAGCTTTTTCCACACAAAGTTTTAATAAAAAAAATCAGTAAACAAGTTCTCAGCTTGTTTTTGCAAAGAAAAACAAGTTTTTACACGATGGCACGAGTTTCAACCATGAATTTTGGAGCGTCGACATGACGGAGGTTTTTTCCAGAAGTTGGCCTGTTAGCTTAGCTCATAGCTTAGCTGCTCAGCTTAGCTGCTTTTAACAATCCAAAAACACGATTTTGGATTGTTAAAACAGATTTTAAAGAGAACGAGAAAGGGAGGGGTCAGTGAAGAGCACCGGAGTTGAGTCTTTTGTCATCCGGTGTCTTCAGTAGAAAGAGAGACATGAAGAAGCAATAAAGCAGATAAATTAAAATGAGGTCGATAATTTTCATTTATCATGTGATTAATTGATTTATTGTTTATCGCGGCAGGCCTTATCCACAATCCCTTAAAACTGAAGCTGCAGGTTCGAGCCCAGGTTGCATCAGAATAGGGATCAGGTGTATAATAACTGCCAAATCTCTTGTGCAAAACTATTTACTGTTGTAACCCCAGCAGAGGAGATTAGCTGAATGAATGACAACCACTCTCTATATATTTGAAAAAAGTGAAAGTGCTTTACACTTTCAAACACTGTTCAGAGAACAAAGCATGAGACAAAATCAACAAAGAATTAAAAGGAATTTTTAAAGATGTAAATTTTTCTCATATTCAATTCAATTCAAAAATACTTTATTAATCCCAGAGGGAAATTAAGTGTTGTTGTAGCTCATCATCCTGGTTCTGTTCAAGAGTTGTTAGATGCTGATAGCTGTGGGAAGGAAGGATCTCCTGCAGCAAATATGAAGAATCTGGCTACAGATACCGATCCGTCCACCCAGATCCAGCTTGCTGTCAGATCCGGCTGGCCTCTCGGTCCTCCTGGGCAGCAGGGCCGCCCGAATGCTGGGCAGAATTCCTCCCTGAACAATGGTCACTCTTCCCAGCAGTCTGCCGAGCTCCTCGTCGCCACGGACAGACAGCTGAAGGTGCCGGGGGATGATCCCGGTCCTCCTGATGTCACAAGCCGAGTTTCCCACCAGCTCCAGAATCTCAGCGGTCAGGTACTCGAGCACAGGTTGACAGGAATTTGTCCTTGGAGTCTCCTTTTCAACTCATTTGGGATTTGATGCTGTAGTTGAGGTATTTCGGCTTTTGAGATGTTAATCAGCTGCTCCTGGTTGTTAAAAAACACCTCGTTGTCATGGTTACGCATCATAGCAAATGCCCAAAAGTAAAAAGGTTTCAGTTAAAATCCTTCCAGCTGCATTGCATCCGATACTACATCCAGAAAAAGAGGAATTAAAGTTTCCAAAAGCAATAACCCAGAATGAAATATTGTTAGGGTTAAAAGAAGTTTTGTTGATTTGTTCAGAAGACCAACTTTAAAAATGCTATCGAGTATTGAAAATGTGATATTTTCAAACTCAAAAAAGTAATTTAAAGTTTCTAAAATAAGAAATTCATATTTCTAAAGAAATAGAGAAGGCAAATCACGTTGGAGTTTTAATGACGTGTATTCACATAACAGACAGCTTCAGTGAAACTTTCATTTCATTTCAGGGCTCCTTTTTTAAAATTATTATTAGACCTTTATTTATACAGGTTAGTTCCCATTGAGCCCTGAAAACTCATTTACAAGAGAGACCTGTTACATACAACATACAGGCAGATGAGAAAAAGAACACGAGGATGGAGGAAGCCAAAAAAAATCATGTCTCACACCAAGTCCTGGCTGGGAGACAGTATAAAAGATGCAAAAATAAATCTTGCAACATACAATGACATCATAATACATTTATGCAAAGCCGGTGAGCTGTCCATGGACACTCCAGAAACAACAAAGTCCACGCTCAATAATCCAGGTATACAATCCAACATTTTTCAGTCAGGTCATCTGGACAGTTTCTTGTTTTGTGCTGAAACGTTTCGCCTTCGATCCAGAAGGCTTCATCAGTCAAGGAAACGCATCACAAAGAGACCATCTTAGCACCAACATAACTGGTTTGTTCCACTTTGGAAAAATGTATTGATTGTGTTGAGGGACCAGCTGACCAAATCCATCATAATTTCTGATTCAGAAGATGTGTAAAGAGAGGCTCTGAGGTTGACAGGACGAAAGAGCAAAAAAGCAGGAGGGAGGGTAAGAGCGACCGGCTTCGTCGAAGGCGAAAGAGAGAAATTTGGTTTTGTTTTTCAACACAAAGTGATGGGGGGGGGTTGTCCCAAAAATGTGTTAATTGTTTACATAACTCTGGAAGGAAAAGCTAACAAGCTTTTTAACTCTGATCAAACCCTGGTAATGAGCTGCGTGTAGCAGATGCTAAAACTATTGTAAAAAGTAAGAAAAACAACACGTTGATGATTCTCCATATTTACTGGTGCGTAGAGAATGTTCATGTTCTATGAACGGTCTTGTCTGACACAAACGTGCACTGATTCAACCAAAAGGAGATTTACACACACTGTCTATGCTTGCTGCTACCATATTCCTTATTTCTGACTGCTGATGAGCTAGCATATACGGAGCGAGGCCTCCGACTAGTCTGATGTATGATGATTGCTCAGCACCCCCTCTGTATGCGTATAATTTGAATTTGTTCTGAATGCTTCAAACCACTGAGCTTCAGCTGTCTTCTCACATCCTAAACAGATTTGTGCACCCACTTGGATCGCAGGGGCCCCAGTGTTAAATCCAAAATATATAAAATATTAAGGAGTCTGTTTATGCCTCATTGCTAATAACAAATCCTTTTAGCGTGTGCTTGCTTTGCGGTCTGCAACGCTTCACCCTCGGTGGGGGGTTTACCACCGTAATGCAGTCCCACTAACTGTATGACAGCTGCAAATGCTGCGATGCAGATGAGAAGTCTTTCTCAGAGTAGATCTCTGCTGAAGGAGAGAATCAAGGGTACGTTTTCTTTGAAAATGTTATTGGAGTAAAAAGCACGTTGCTATTATACAACTGAGAAAATGTTACATTTAGAAAATCGCTTTTATTATAAGCAAGTATATTATGAAAGGAACAGTTCACTTCTTTCAGAGTTGGGTTCTGTAGAAATACCTTTTTCTGTTGTAGAGCGCTTTAGAAACAATCTGTTTAGAAAAGCAGTTTTATTTTAAATGGAGTGATGATGGGCTAGCTGGAGAGTGGCTCACAGTATTTTTTTTATTTTTATTTAGCCTTTATTTATACAGGTAGTCTCATTGAGCCACGAGAACTCATTTTTAAGAGAGACCTGTTTAGGGAGCAGATGGGGGGTTAAGGGCCTTGCTCATGGGCCCAGAGTGGGACGAATGAGGGTGGGGGCAAGCGTGGGTGCTTCGCCTACCCCACCCACATTTTTGATGTTGTCGGTACCGGGGCGTGAACCGGCGATCTTCCGATCACAGGCCCACCTCTCTAACTTCTGCGCCACCACTCCCCTAAATTTGACATGCACAGTTTTTCCAGTAGAAATATCATAACACTTCAGGAAATGCATCATGAAGCACTGGAAGTGCAACAGCTAGCTGCTGCTGATCTCACACTTTGTTTTTCAGGACTTTATTTTCTGCTATAGGGTTTATATTTTGTAGGTTTCTTGTGGTTATATTTATTTGTTTGTTTGTTTGTTTGTTTGTTGGGGTGGAGAGGTATTTTCATTTGGTCTTTTCCAAACGCCTCATTTTGTTTCCTGTCATTTCTTAGTAGATTTCCTCAGTCAGCTTCTGCTC